TCTACTATCTTTGCAAGTAAATTAACATTAATCTTTCCAACCTTGTATAAATTATGAATTCGGTCATGACCCATCACAGGATAAGGATATATTCCTATTCTCAGGATAAGGATATATTCCTATTCTGTGGTACCCATGCAAGCATGTGCAAAGTAGATTTTTTTAAAAAGTAAAATATACTCACCTAAACAGACTTTACAAAAATTATGAAAGCAAGGCAAGCTTCTTGGTTCGTGTAGAGTTTCCAAACACATGCAACATGTGAGTAGTTCGTTGATTTCATCAACAGAAACACTGTCTGACGAAGCACTTGCCATTTCAATTAAATCTTTCTTACTTAACAATTTAGACAAGTTTAAAACATATTTGTGTTTTCTATCGAACGAAACGATCGAATAAAATCTTGCTACAAATACGTGAAAATGTGAAAGTGTTGGGACTTGGACACATGACTTGGACATAGACTTGGATTTCTTGAAAATTGCGAAATTCGAAGAATTCGCTCTAGCCCGCGATCAGGCTGGGTTTAATGACCTCAATATATCACTGGAGTAGCTTCGTAAAATTGATGTAGCAAAATAAAATGGTCATTTCCAGGAAATTTAATACTCTGAAACTGAAAAGAAAGTACTTCCTCTAGCATTATAGTAAATATTTAAGATGATCTCATTTTCGGTTTTTATTTTACACTTTATTTGTTAACCCATTATGCTGCAACGCGCCCAAATGATTCGATTTTATTATTTTACCCTGTCTAACGCCAGATGATTTTACTCGTTAAGGTCAACCAAGCGTCAATGTTAACCCGTATTAATGCGCACGAGTCTAGCACATTAAATAATACGGGTTAACATTAACGCCTAGTTAAATTTGTAAAGTGATACATTGTCTTCCATGTAATTAAGAATGTGTGTTAACTATATTTACATGGGGGGAGGGTGATGCTACCATACATCCTACTAATGGCGAGCTAGCCATGGCAACTGGTCATGTTATGCTAATAAAAATAATACATTTCTAAAGGTTTGAAGAATGCAATTCATTAAAAATTGCATAGCATGACCTGTTGCATGGCCACTGATCTGTGTCTCAAAAAAGTTCAAATAAGAATTGTATTACGGGAGTTGTATTACCGTATACCTCCAAATACAAGTCCTCAATGCCCAAATTAAACTACGTCGACCAGCGCAGCATATTCACTGACCCTCAGTCCATACAATACATAAGCCTCCACCTACCTCCCCCCCCCCCTCGGCGTAAATAAGCCAAGAGGTTAAAATTGAGTAATTGAAAAGGGAAAATGCTTTCAATGGTTACGTTAATTTGACAAGGGAATGCTATGTCACTGTATATCTTAGAGCACACTTACGAACACAAAATTATTTTCGTATACAATATCGCCCGTCATATGTAAGCGCCTCAGCGTGGAAGCCCATCTTATGTTGGGAGTAATACGGCATTTTTTAAAACGAAACAATGTCCGAATAAAACATCTTGAGCAATCCAAGACATGGATTAAAACAAGATTATGGCCAAGCATAATAGTTTTTGAAATTTCGATTATTCATTTATTTCGTCAATTACAACATTAATAAGAATCATTATGATTTAAAGTAATCTAACATATATAGGGCTAGGAGCCTACTAAAATTAGACCACTGGGTTTTTGAAATTTGATTCCTTGTAAAATATTTACACGATCTGTACAGCATAAATCAGTTCAAAGCAATAGTTTATAATCAGGGCCGCCGAAAGGGGTTGGGTGCCCCAAAACGAAGAGGCCCCCGAGCCCCAAAATCAAAAGAGGCCCCCAAACCAACGAAGGCCTTTAAAATTTCTGGATAAAAGATTGCTACTGAGAATATAAATCCTAGCTGCGTTAGTGTCAGACAAAAATGCAATAAATTGTGATATATTGTAAAACACGCTTCCCCCCTTTTACAATTATGACGTCATAACCGGGTCCTTGAAAAGTTTTGGCCCGGGCTCAGCGTTGAACCTCTCGGCGGCCATGTTCATGATACATTGAATATGTACATATACAAGAATTACTGAGAAAGCTTACAAGTCATTGATTACGACTATATCATGATCAAGGAAAAAAGGTACATATAATACACTCGATACTAAATGTTGAGGGGTTTTTGTAGATGGAAACCTCGAGTGTAAATTTTAGACGTTTATACACCAAACCAGGAACAACTGCAAAAAATGCAACTATATATAGACCCTCTGGTAGGAATCAAACCTACGATTCCGGCACAGCGCTCTAACCAACTGAGCTACAGAATCCACTTGCCGAGTTTTAACCACAAGTTCATGTATATATAGTACATACTACGTGATGCCAGTGTAAGGTATATGGGTAAATATCAGGATTTCAGGCATCTCAGTCGATATTAAATGTTGAATGGTTTTTTTGTAGAAAGAAATCTCGAAAACCCTTCAACATGTATAGTGCAGGGTGTATCAAAAAAGGTAAAACAATTTCAGCATGCTATCGTGTGTTATATATACTAAGTTTATATATTTACCTTTCACACACTAACAAAGATAGGCTTTTAGCTGCCAAATGACACCGTTCTTATGTCATTGTGATGAAAAATGGTCAGATGCAATCCGATATAAAGTGGTCGATCGAAAATTAAATGTTCTTCCAATTTTAGAACATTTACCTAGGCTATATGCTGATTAGATCATTGATTACCGTCGGCTGTATAACAATCGGTTTTTCACAAGTTTTCTTCGAGGCCTTTCATTTGTTGACTCCAGTAACCGCTACTGTTGAGGCAAACGACCAATTTTAATTTTTAAAATTCCTGCAGTACATGACTCAGAATATTCATATTAACTCTTAATACTTTATAACATCGCAAAATCACTGTCCAAAATTGATTGCTAAGAGCGGTCGTAATCAATGTAATGTTATTTTTCGTTGAAGTACGTAAACCAAGGCAACTGTCAGTTGAAGATTTCGATTTCTGTCGTTAAGAATTGGTACTGACCAGCAAGAAGGTTCTTTGCTTGTTCACTGCTATAGACATAACCAGGAGGAAGTTGATATGTGCTTCCAAAATTGCTGTATGATTGATTAACTTGAGGATTGTTACAAATGTACAGATCATAACCTCCACCAAAGGTTGGTCCATAACAAAGCGAACAGTAGATTGCACTGTGCTCCTGACCTTGCTTGATGTTGGCAATAAATGGAGCAAGGTTGTCTTTGTTGCGTAGGGAGAATAAAAATGACGCGTTGGAACGTTTCCAAGCACCACCTTAAAATTGAACAAAATTAATGATTAAATTTTAACAAAATATTTAATAAATTCTATAATATTTACTTTTGGACATGATCGGTATGATTATGACCCAATCGACCCTTCTTCACACGGGACTGAACGAATTCTGAACCATACTCACAATTTCACGACTATCACCTTATGCGTTCACATGGGACACATGAAACTGGACAAATTCAAACACAGCTAACCCTAGGAATTCCTGTGTAACAAATGAAACTAGACGAATTTGCGTATTCGTCCGATATTGTGCGAACATAGATATCGTTAAATGCAGTTAAATGCAGTCAACCTCGTTCCCAGGCTCTTCCCTCTTATGAAGAAAAAACCCTGGTTGGAGCTGGTCACGTGATCCATAGAAAATGGATAATCGTAGGGAGCGTTTCTTTAGTGCAATCCGGATTTGAATTTTCAAATCCGATTATCGATTTTCTGTTTCACTTGACAAAATCTTGAATAGATTCGAAGCTGATGAGTCCACCTCAACATATGTATTTTTCGGATTCAATTTGAAACTTGATTAATTAAGATTCAACGTTCCTTTTGAGCTTTTGGCCTTCTAGCATGTACATTGACCCGACCGAAAGGTATAGTGGGACAGAAAACTTATTGTAAAAATGGCGGGAAAACAGCAGGCGAATTCCGATTCTCACAATTCGTTCCATTGGTTTAACGACTCCAAAAAATCTGATTCGTAAGAATCCAAATCTAGATTTACAAAAGAAACGTGCCTATAAGGGTGAGGGAAAAATCTCATATTACATGATACCACTTCCGCACTTCACGCTTCGATTGCAAGGAGTGACTGTTCTGTAGTATCACCTTTGAGAATCATAATTACTTCAAAATGCTTGCTAAATTTGGTTTCTGTTTGCTTTTAAATTATACAAACATCCTAAACTGCAGATTCATATAGCAACAGACAAGTCAGGAAATCAAGCAATGAAAACGCATGATCGTATGCTTTGAAATATTTGCCCTTTTATTCTCGGAGTTCGGGCGCAGTTTCATTTCACGCATACGTTTCTGTTCTGCCTCTGATATTTATAATATTCTTATAATACATGTATGCCATTGAATTGTTGTCATTTGGAAACGGTGCATTTATTTACTTATTAAATACTATAGAGGTCTCAAAAGCGACTGTGCAGGTCGTAGACCTTGGTGGTCTTACAACTTTGGACACTAGCTAAATAGACGTTGAATGTCCATTAATTTGATTCTAAAACCGTTTATAAACATAGTGCTCTAGATATTTTTTTAAAAAATAGGTTATCATCGTTTATATTAAATACCTGGTAGGAAGGAGTGTTAACATACAAAATTGTTTGGGATCGACAGTGCACAATTATACGACAATCGTCACAATCCACAACTGTATGCATTTCCTTTTTTGTCTGCACGAGAACCTGTATGTTGAAGCCAAAATATTGCACAGCATCTCCTATATAATTCTCTCGCCATTCACCTTCGCCCCTTCAATGCAAAGGAATGATATATAGCGGATAAGGTTTAGCAAAGCATTTATTATTCTGCTACAATGTGTCCCCACGTTTTATCAGGGATATACTGTATATATAGTTTATATACATAATTCTTAAACTCTATATGCGCACGAAGTCTCGCTCATAGAATTACTTTATGTATGTAATGAGTTTTTATAAGCCTTTTAAAGTTTCCATTGATAGATAGGTTGTTTGCCTCCAGTATATTTGGTGAAACTTCTAAAATGTCGATTACAGTATACGATAAAGACTAAAGTTGATATAAATATTCAAGACTCACAGCGGCATTATACAAGTCGAAAGAAGCTGGATTCTAAGGTTACTCCACATGCATGCTGGAAACCCATTTCACCAAAATGCTCACCGCGCGCTCAATTTTCAAGTTTTCCCCTTCAAATTTTGCATGCATAAGGGACTGGTCATAAAGTAACTGCTAGGGTGGGCTGGAGGTAAATCACAAATTTTGCCAATAAGTTCGGTGACCCATCTTAGGATGCACAGTAAAAACAAATTGGTTAAAATGACCAATTTAAATTGGTTGTAACCAATTTAAATTGGTCATTTTAACCAATTGAAGAATAGGTTAGTCTGACATGACCAATTAAATATTGGTCATTTCGACCAATACATAATTGGTTGAATTTTTAACCAATTTAAAATGGTAAATTTAACCAATTTCTTTTGA